CAGGGCTGATGGGGAGGTTATGGCTCTACCCCGTCACACACAGAGCAGGGCCCGTGGGGGCGCGGGGGGGCAGTTGGGGCGCTGCACCCTGTCACACACAGAGCTGCAGGGCGATCAGGGGGTTGGGGAGCTCCCCCCTATCAGGCACAGAGCAGGGCTGATCAGGGGGTTGGGGCGCCTTCCCCTGTCACAAACACAGCAGGGTGGATAGGGAGGTTGTGGCCCCGCCCCCTGTCACACACAGGGACGCAGGGCGATCAGGGAGTTTGGGCGCTGCCCCCTGTCACGCTGATCCCGGTGCCGGGAGGCCTCACGGCTCCGCTGATCCTGGTGCTGGGAGGCATATTACCCTTTTACTATATAGGGCAGAGGCCTGGTGCACGGGTGGGTGCCGGCTGGTTTGCCCTGAAGGGTGTCCTGGATCAGGGCGGGGGTCCCCACTGGGGTGCCTGGCCAGCCTGGGTGAGGGGATGATGGCTGTTTGCAGCTGGTCACACACCCTTCAGGGTGGGGGTCCCCACTGGGGTGCCTGGCCAGTCTGGGTGAGGGGCTGAGGGCTGTTTTCAGCCTGGGGGTGACTGAAGCTCCCAACTGCTCCTTTTTTTCTTTTCTTTTTTCTTTTTTTATTCTGGGCCAGCTTTAGCTTTGAGGCTTGGCTCCAGCTCTTAGGCCTCCGCTGCTGAAAGTAGATTTCTGGCCTTTGCTTACAATGTTGCGATCCTGCTGGCTGAAGCCGGGTGGACTAAAGCAGGTTTCTGGGGTTTTGTTTAGCTTCTATATTTGTTACATAGTTGCTTAGAGTTGCAGCTCAGAGGCCTGCAGCGGCAGGCGGGGAATGTTGGAGTCCTCCGTCACTGAAGCAAGCAAGCCTCATGTGAGTTTCAAGCTGCCTGGCTGCCGACCGCCATCTTGGCTGGCAGTTAATTTGCATATCTCGCTGATTAGCCAATGGGAAGGGTAGCGGTCGTACGCCAATTACCATGTTTCTCTTTTATTAGATAGGATTGGGGTGACATGGGTTAATAAAATTATATAGGTTTCAGGGGTACAATTCTACAATACATCTGTACATTTTGTATTCTGTATTCACCACCCCAAGTCAGGTCTCCTTCCATCTCTATTGAGTCCCCATTTCTTGTCTCCTACCTCCCCCGCCCTCTTTCCCTCTGGTAATCATCATACTGTTGTCAGTGTCTATGAGGTGTTTTTTCTTAATCCCTTCACCTTTTTCAACCAGTGCCACAACCTCCCTCCTCTCTGAGAGGTGGCTATGTTCTGTTCTCTATCTATGAGTCTATTTCTATTTTCTTTGTTAGTTTATTTTGTTCATTAGATTCCACATATAAGTGAATTCTTTCTCTGACTGGCTTACTTCACTTAGCATAATGCTCTCCAGGTCCATCCATGTTATTGCAAAGGATAAGATTTCATTCTTTTTTACTGATGGCTAGCATTCCATTGTGTAAATGTACCACAGCTTTTTCATCCACTCATCTACTGATGGGCACTTGGACTACTTCCAAATCTTGGCTATTCCAAATAATGCTGCAATGAACATAGGGGTGCATATACTCTTTTGAATTAATGGCTAGGGTTTCTTCAGATATATTACCAGAAGTGGTACTACTGGGTCATAAGGCAGTTTCATTTTTCATTTTTTGAGGTAACTCTACACTGTTTTCCGCAGTGGCTGCACCAGTCTGCATTCCCATCAAGTGTCTGAGGGTTCCCCTTCCTCCACAACACTTCTTTGTTGTGCATTCTTAATTCTTTGAAATTTTAATGTGGTCCAATGCATACATTGCATTTAGTTTAACATGTCATGTTTTTTTCCTAAAACTGGTTCTAGTTTTAGAGCAGCTCAGATTTTTAAATATTCATTGGGGTTTTTTTTCCTACTGCTATCTCAGGCATTGCCATCCTCCTTAAAACATGTTTGAAAAATGTTCAGGCTTCTCATCTCAATCTGAAACTGTGTATTTGGTTCCAGTTTAATGAGAACAAACTCAATTATGAATACATTTTTTTTGACACATCTTTTGTTTTCACCCTTTGGTAAATTTAACAACCTGTGACAGTTCTCACATTTCTGGAACAAGTCTCCCAGTTACAAAAGAAGCTAATGATGATATGATAAATAATATTTTTTTTTTTACTGTTTTGGATTTATCCAAAACAAAGTTTACCAAATTTTCTCTTCCTGCTCCACCCCCTTCTAGCCCCCACAAGCCTAATGCATAGTATGTGCCATTGCTGCATTTATTCCTGGGGAATTATAATCCTTAAATAGCAGTCAATTGCTCTAACATTGTGTTTGGTATTTTTTTAATAGAATAATAATTTTTCAAAAGGACTCAGTGTAACATCCTAGTTTAGCAAATGAAGAAACTGGGGTACAGAGAGATAAGTAACTTATTTAAGATTTCACAACAAATTACTGGAGTATTTCTACAGAAATATATCTCTAGAGAGCCTTAGAAGATAAAAGCTATAAGGAAATTCACACAATTCTTGTGGAATATAACAAACTTAATGATGTTATAAAATCTGGTATAATGTCCTACATATTGACCAAGAAACTTTTGGTAGTAAATGAAAGAAAGAAAACTGAAACCAGCTTTAGAATAAAAAGGAACTTTTTCCTTTAAAGTGAGTGAATCTCCAAATGTAAATTCCAAGGGGTAAATTGGGTTCAGGCATAGCTGGATGCAAAGACTAAAAATATCATCAGAATATGCCTTTCTCTTTTGGCTTTGTTTACCACTGTGCCTGCCTCCCTCCCAGGCAGCTGTACTCACACAGTGGCAAAAATAGCTTATGTTCTAACCCCAGTGCAGAGAACACTCTTTCTCAGTGGTCTCAACAAAGACACTGGGAGTGACTCCCATTAGCTGGCTTGGATCGGGCGCCCTATTGAGCACTTCACTGTGACTCCAGTTGGCCACGCCTGGGTCATGCCCACACCACCTCCACCAGTCTCACCAAAAAGAACCGCATGGACAGAAAGTGCAGGAGGGGTAGTCACAAGAGGAAAAAATAAGTGTTATACAGGGAAGAGTCTATGTGAATGTGTGAAAGACTGTGAGCTACATTTGACTTTACCTTGCAGTTCCAAAAATCCTGGTCCCCCAATTAGAACCAGGCTGATAGGAAAGAGCCATCTGGAGAACTTATAAACAATACAGATTGTCCTCGCCCCACTTCTGGAAATTTTGGTTCTGGAGGAATCTGTGTTTTGTGTTTTTTTTTTGAAAAAGTTCCTTCAGAGATTCTTGAGCGCATCCAAGTCTGAGAATCACTGTGTGTAGGCAATGGTACCAACAGAAGGTATTGGAAAGAGAAGAACATGTTTTGGAAAGATACCTCTTTACCAGTGAAAAGGGGCAATGGAGCAGGTCAAACAAACCAGGAGATGGGGAGACCTGATAGGAGACCACTGTGATAGAGTAAACTAAGAAATGGCAAGCAGAGCAGTGCAGGCGCAGAGGAGGGGAATGTTCAGAGTTATTTCTGAATAATGCAGTCCACAGGACCAGACGATCTACTTGGTGTGGGAATAGAAGTGTCTGTGTGTGTGTGTGTGTGTGTGTGTGTGTGTGTGTGTGTGTGTGTAGAGGTGGAATTCTAGTTTGCAAAGTGTGCCCTTGTGATCTGGGAGTGAGAGGATAGCAGAAGGTGTGGCTGTGTGTACAGTAGTGTGATGTTAGCTCAAGGTGGTAAACCAGGCTGGAGCTTGCCATGGGCAGCAGGTCAAGGCCTGGGGCTGAGCTATCTAAAATCCAGAGGCTCAGATCTGCCAACCCTGAGGTTGAAAACTTGCTGATGCTTCCTCACCTGGGGACATCTCCCTTCTTTGTGCCACCTGTGGTCCTGCCAGTAGTCATTTCTCAAAGTCCATTGAAGAGCCTCTTAGGCTTTCTCTCTAGCTTATAAACTTCCTGAAGCTATGAATTATGTGAGCCTATATGTTCTCAGAGTCTAGTCTAGTGCCTTCACATAGTTGATGCTCACATTTCTAGGTGAATGAATTTTATTAATTACCTAGGTAATTATAGCTACAGTAGCCTCATTATATCTGTATAGGCTTTGGGCCTCAGTTGTGTGTGTGATTGTATAAACTTGTATTTCTGTAACTCTACATGCTTCCTTTATTACATTCCAAAATGCACATTTTTATAATTAATAACAGTATGCAAAATACACTGATTTTTTCCAAACATTAATTATTGCAAGAAGCTTGTATAATTAGTGAATGAGGCATCTCCTGCAGATATTCACTTAGATTCCATCAAAAGATCTTGATTAATAAAAAAAAAAATTAAAAACTTTAAATCTAGTTAATTAAAGGCTAGGTATAATTTTTTGATTCAGTTATCCAAATAAGCATATATGGATTCAAAGAGATTATTTTTTACACTAGAGGCCCAGTTCATGAAATTCCTGCACTCTGGGTGAGGGGGGGATTTCTTCAGCCCGGCCTGCATCCTCTCACAGTCCAGGAGCCCTCAGGGGATGTCCAATTGTCAGCTTAGGCCTGCTCCCTGTGAGCCTAAGCCATCAATTGGACATCCTTAGCGCTGCCGCGGAGGCAGGAGATCTCCCTCCACTACCGCTGCGCTCGCCAGCCATGAGCCCAGCTCAGGGCTTCTGGCTGAGCAGTGCTCCCATGGGGAGTGCACTGATTACCAGGGGGCAGCTCCTGCATTAAGTGTCTGCTAGTAGTCAATGCATGTCATAGCAACCGGTTGTTCCGCCGTTCAGTCAATTTGCATATTAGCCTTTTATTGTATAGGATAGAGTGGTAGGATCACTTTAAAGTATCTATCTTTTTCTTATATGATGCTGAAAGGAATAAATAGGAGATTGCCATGAAAGGATAGAAAATATAAGACTAACTTGAAAGTTATATTACTTTTTAAGTATAAGCTTTTGTTCTGTTCATTGTTTGGATGATTTCTCTTTTTATTTCCCATTATCTTTGCCTTCTTCATTGCAGTTAAATACCCATTGAATATAATGGGAATATCCTACTTATTGAGCTTGAAATCAACAGAAAACTCCAATACATAACGACTTTCCTTTACAATCTGCTCTCCTGAGAAAGACCAATAACAACTAGGTAAGCTAATATCAGCAATTTTAAAGTACAATTTTTAAGCAGATATGGAAATTAACTCAGATAATAAAAGTATATAAAATGGAAAAGATATTGGCAAAAACTAAGAAAATGATTTTTTAGATTCAGCTCTCTACATTTCAACTAATTTGGAATGAATTCCTAGGTACAGATAACACATTGTACTTCTCTAGCATATTTGACCTTGTTATTTTTCCATGTGTGTTGATTTTCTATCTCCTGTGTGACCTAATTATTGGAAAAATCTGTAACTTCCTGTTTTTCAATCTCCAGGGAACTGTTTTAATCTTCTCAACTTATAATTTATGATATGTATGTGCTAGTCCCCTATATTGCCTCAACTTCTATTTATGACCCTGTATTTTATATGCAATATCTATTATACCTCACTGGCCTTGCCTAACCCCTAGTTTGGGTTTCTCTGGCCAGCTTTGACCTTTTACTACCCCAAGTTCAATATAACACATGCTCTAGCCTTAATATATTGGTCATTTGCCTACTTGCTTTCAGATTCATTCATTTCTTGCCCTTCTCTTACTCTGTTTCGAAGGAAACTGATTCCTGCCAATTCCATTTGCTCAACTCACTTGCCTGTTCCCCAAACAAATTAAGACAATGAAAGATAAAGAGATAAAGTAGGAGCATGGGCAGAAGAAGAGGAGAAACCAATGTATTTCACCCCCTCTGTGATTCAGGGAGCTTCTCCCACAGCTTCTCCTCAATGATTCCCATTCTGGGTCCAGCCAGGGACAGTGGCTCCAAGGGTCTGTTACTTCAGCTCCTCTGTTTGTCTCTCCAACCCTAGGGGTGAGAGATAAAGGCTTTTAATACTAGAGTGCTCCTCCTTCCCCACTTTGGCTTTCCTGCCCTTCCTATACCTTTGTAATTAGTTCCTGGTATTTAATTCCCTCAACTGATCTACCTCACTTGGGCTGTCATTTCTGACAAGATGCCATCTCATACACTGAAGTGACAATACCTGGCCAGTTGTTAGGCTGTAAGGCAAAGAAAATTGTCATCATCACAGAAGGATTTGTGTCAGTATTGCAAGGCTCACATCCCAAAATATCCAGCAAAAAGATATAAGGAATAAATATGTTGTTGAACATATATAATACAATGGAAACAGTCATTTACTTTTTAAAAAGCCACTTCCACTTAGTTCTTGTCTTTATTCATTAGTATATTCCCATCAATAGGGAAACCATGGGAAATGGAGCAGAGTGAACAAAGACTCATGCCCACGCTGAGCCCAAAATAGTTCCAAGTAGATTTGCCTGCATAAAGGAGGGAAAGTTGTAATCAGCACCCAGAGTAGGTAACAAAGCACATTTAAGACTGTTAATGTCAAATAAAAATGAAGACCCCTCTGAAGACCCCTGATGCTCTCCCCTAGAAACTCTCTCTGCATTAATTTGACCTTCGAATGACAAGCAGTTAAATGACTCTTGCATGAAAGAGTCCAGGGAAGTTGTCAGTGGCCTAAATGGCCTTGGAGTAACCCATCTCTCTCTTTATTCATATAAAGACAGATATTTTATGTCCATATAAATACAGATAGTTTTAAAGCTATTTTTAGAACTCTAACACATATTTTGGTTTTTGAACCATGAAAACATTAACTATTTTAAAAAGTAAGCTTTCAAAAAAAAAATAGTAAGCTTTCTAAAAAGAAGAAGAAAGGAAAAATATTAAACTTTAAGAAGAAGAAAGAGAAGAAAGGAAGGAGAAGAGAAGGAAGAAGAAAAAGGAAAAGAAGAAAGATCTTAATAGGCATTTTATATTCTTTATGGTAAGGGGCAGGTATTTTGAGCTCAGATTATTCTATGAGCATTAAACCACAGGGTTTAATTTATGTATCTTTTTATAACTCATGTACTTATTTAGCACTTACTGAACATCAGGGACAGTCTAGGATATTATTCTATGTAATATTTTTCTCATGCCTGTGAAGTAGGTATTAGGTTGAATCACATGAAAATGCTGATATTCAATGATTTTTTTACCACAAAAATGTCAGTTTCATATGTTCAATCTAATGTCAACATCCACATTTTAATGATGAGGAACTCAAGGTTGACAAAAGCTGAGAAACTGCCCAATGGCGCACAAAACCTGCAAGAGACTCTTGACCTGACCCCACACCTCCTGCTTCCACTGAGTAGTGGGTATGAATTTCAGGCCAAAAGAGTAAAGATACAAGAAATGTTTAATTCCCCTTTCGTATATGTGCCCTTAAGTGCCACCAAGTGGTAGAGATTTGATATCAATTAAGTCAAGATTTTCTCCTCTCACCATTTCCCTCTCCTTCCCCAGAACTGTGCCTGGAAGTGCCTTAGGCCTAGCTGCCCAGGTTCTCCCTGCCCCTCCCTACTCTGGTATCTTCCTGCCTTACCTCAGACCGAGGGCACCTGTCACCTTTGTTCTCAGACAGAAGGTATATATACTTCACAGACCACTTGCTCTGAAACTGCTAACTCTACCCACCACCAGCTTCCTCACAAGGGATCCTGGATCCAGACCCTTCCTAAGCAAGTCTGGCTCTGACATAGTGCACATGCCCCACCCTTGAAGCTTCAAGCTTAATATCAAAAAGTATCAAAAAGCCTTCAACAGTCTCTTCTTTTAAACTCTCCCCTGCTTATGGTTCAAAGTCTGTTTTGAAATGAAAAAAAATGAAAAAAAAAAAAGTCAACAATCAACTCTGTTTTTGTTTTGTTTTTTCATTTCTTTTTCTTAAGACAATAAAGGCAAAATAATTAGTAGCCTGAAGGTTGAGGGTAAAAAGTAGAGATAACAGGAAAGAATAGATGGCAAAAAAAAAAAAAAAAGGAAAGCATCAATTACTGTTCAAAATACCATCCTGACACATTTGTTGATCTTTTCTCAAGACAGCTGCCCAGAGAATTCTCAAGCTTGGGGATGTTCAAGAATGGCCCAGGGGAGATGCACAGGCCCCACTTTTATTTGAAGAACACTCTGACAGATGGAAAAAGGCTAATCCATAGGATTGCATTACTTTTCACTGTGAACACACCCAGAATGAAATAAGAGGTTGCAGTCTTACAGAATAGGGACAAAATGTTAAGGTGATTAAAACTGAAGTTTATTTTTTAATGAAGAGTTGAATGGCAACCACTGTTTGTAGAGCACCGCCCACTGTGACTGCAGCTCTGTGGCCCTTTCGCTTTGCCTGGGAAGCAGTTCTTGTAGGCACAGTTGGGGTGCTGGGCCATTATCTAGGCAAGACTCATATAAGGTAGAAATCCATCAAAATGACATGATAAACCAAAGAAGAGTCAAGGAAACTGCACTGTTAGGCTGCATCTAAAATTGCAAGGGAGAGGATGGATGGGGAAACTGTAATTAGAGGCATTTTAAGCTCTCTCGTGGGAAGAACAGCAAAAAATTCTATATTTGAAACTGCAGTGTGAATTTGAAGTTCCGAGGTGGTAGGGAGAGGGACAGGGAACAAGGAGAAAGGAAGAAGAAGTCACAATGTGTACTTGGACTCACACCCCAAGAATCAGAAACAGTTCTAGTAGAAAGGAATAACATTTCCCTTAAGTACAATGAGCAGCAATGTAAGGCTGGAGAGAAAATGAATAAGGGATGGTGGGCGAGGGTTTGACAGGGCAGATAGAACTGAAATGGAATCCGATTGAATATTTACAAGGGTTAGAATTTAAAAAATGATTTTTAAGTAAAAATATTTCACTAGTACAAAGTGTCTAGGCGTGCCATTAATGTTTCATTTAGTTTATACAGCTTTATTACACTATTTTTTGTGTGTGTTTTTCTAAAAATACTTTAATAAGTGCTACTCAACCTTCTTGGCCACAGTTCAGAGTCTGATTCTGAGTCTCATATAGACTCAGAGTTTCTTTTCCTGAAGGTTAATTTTGTTCTGTACCTGACCCTGCCAAATTGAGAAAACAAACACACCTTGTTTCTTCGACAAGAAACAGCTCTCAAAACTGCTCTAGTTCTCAAAGAAGAGGCAAAAATACCCCTGTTTCAAGTTTCTCTTGTAAAAAGTATCTCCTTATATAAAGAATCCCTCTCAGTTGTATAGCACTTTAAGCTTTAAAACCCTTTCAGATGCATTTTCTCATTTGAATTTCAGTGGATTCTATCATAAAGGGCATTTCCTATGTCATGTGTTTTGTGTGTGTGTGTGTGTGTGTGTGTGTGTGTGTGTTTTAAATATATTTTATTGATTTTTTACAGAGAGGAAGGGAGAGAGATAGAGAGCTAGAAACATCAATGAGAGAGAAACATCGATCCGCGGCCTCCTGCACATCTCCCACTGAGGATGTGCCCGCAACCCAGGTACATGCCCTTAACCAGAAGCGAACCTGGGACCTTTCAGTCTGTAGGCCGACGCTCTATCCACTGAGCCAAACCAGTTTCGGCATATGTCATGTGTTTTTACGTAGTCTCTTTCTACTCTCAAAACCAATAAAACATTAGTTATGCTAATGAGTTTCTTGCACTCTACTATTCTCAACCTTTCTCTGTTTTCACTTAGTTGTTCCTTTTTCTTTTTTTCTGAGTAGAGAGCATTTTGTGCCACTGGTCAGTCCTCTCAACTTTCCAAATTTCTAGTCTTTCACTTAACAAAGTAACCAAGACCTGTAAGACATAAAACAAATTCTGGGTTGGCATGAATATCTGGGCCTCTATGTCATAGCCAACTGCCAAGTCATTCATTGGTCCTGTGAGAGCCACTGTGGTCTATTGAGGCCGTTTGAGGGCATCAGGGGCTAAAGTTTTAAAGCCAGATTAGACCTGGCTTTGAACCCTAGCTTTACCACTTAATAGCTACATGGCATCCACCATAAAGTGGTGATATCTTGCTTAATAACTTTTGTGAAGTTTCTAAGGGCAGCAAAGCTCCTGCCATACAGTAGGCATTGAATGAATGTTCGTTCCTCTCCCTTACCTCCTCTGACTGCCAAAGTCACCCACAGCTTATATGACAAGGGCTGTGGTTTGATCTTCTTGATAAAACTAGAGATGGGAACTCTACCCTCAAACAATCACCCAGGATCATTGTGGGCATTACTCTGACTGGCCCACCAAGCCTCCTGACACCAGAGCATCTGCTGACACTCGAGTGATGACATAATCCCCATCAGGCAAGGCCAGGAGGCGTCTGCATAGCATAATTCCAGAGAAGACCCTTCTAATTGTCCCTGAATTATGCAACAACAGATGCAGATATTGCCAGCCAAACATCACTCAGGCATTTTACTGTTCTAATATGGGTCGGAAACAGTTTGAGTGTTTTTGCTGTAGAAGCTCTACCCCCTTTCTGCTTTCCCAGATCTCATCCCTGAACGACTCCTAACTCTGTGCCTCTGTCTGGGTCAAGTTCCCTGCTTGTCCATTCAGGCCCATCTTAGGTCTCTGATTGTCTTTTTTTTTTATTTATTTAATGACACATAGGAAGAATTATTGTTTTATCCTCTGTGGAAAAGCCATATAGAAGAAAGGAAGCAAAAGCTCCTGTGAACATAACATAACAGGTGTTGATTCTCTGCCTAAGGAAAAGCTGGGAGGACTGCACTGGAAGGTAGGAATAGGTTACTTCAACAGGACAACTGATTTCTCTGTGACAGGCAGTGGCTCAGCAAGCATGTATAGAGTACATATATGGCCAAATCCTGCAGTGGATGCTGGAGATATGAGGTGAGTAGAACATGGTCCTTATCTAAGGACTTCAAAGCCTAATGGGAAGGACAAATGAAATACAGGGCAACCCATCATGACTGTGACTGATGCTAAAAAGACTCAAAATGAAAAGTACTTTCTGGTCCTAAAGAGGGACTGGTCAGCTTTAATGGAGGAGGGAGTTAAGAGAAGGCATCACACAAGGGGTAATAGTAATGCTAATTAGGATCTTCATATTGGTTCTAGCCAAAGTGAAAATGAAATAAATTATGGAGCTGATTGGTATTTCCTGTCTGTCCTAATTTTCATTTTTAAATGGTCTTTTCAACTTACTCATAAATTTGTCTTTTTCAAATGTGTTTTATATGTGTGTATGTGTGTGTGTGTGTGTGTATACATACATATGTGTATATATTAGCAATATTGTGCTTCCTTTTGTGACTCTATTTCTGCTTCTCTGACATATGTTCAAGTGTTTAAATATGCTTGAAGCTATGCTTCTTCTACATTGTAGATAGAAATGGTGATCTCTTCTAAATAAACTGAAGCTGGTATCAGTATACAATTTACATATCTGTATGCCATTTTTGACATTAATCCACAAGCTCCCTTCCTCCCTCCCTCCCTTTCTCCCTCCCTCCCTCCCTCCCTCCCTCCCTCCCTCCCTCCCTCCCTCCCTCCCTTCCTTCCTTCCTTCCTTCCTTCCTTCCTTCCTGTCTCAGGCTCCCATCTCTGTTTTCTGCTCTGTATTTTCCTCACCATGCTTGCCCGTGGCTCACCAGCATTAAAGCCTGTGACTCAGCAGCATGCCCCAGGACCTCTTAGAAGAAACACCTGGGAAGGCCTTACATTGTGGTCTTCGTATGCAGCCCTGCTCTTACTTTCAAAGCTCCGTGCAATCCTGCACCTTCCAAATGGGCCTGCACTTTGGAAAGTGCTGCTGTCTTTACCGGGAAAGATGCTCTATGCCCTGAATGGCTCTCTTGATCACCCTCAAGGGTATTTTCTGTTAATGGGCTGAAGTTCTCAATTTCAACCTGTCAAAAGCTGTCCCTCCTTGAACTGTCTCTGGGTAGGACTGATGCAAGAAGAAGGGATTTTGCTGCTTATGTTTCAACAGGAGGAAAGTTTGTAGTGTCATTTGGTAAAGATTGTTAAACTAGACCAAAAACCTACCTTTTGTGTCGTTCCGGTAAGCACCCTCCCTAGCTGCTGCGACCTTCAGCATCCCATGCCCACCTCTGGAGTGTGGGCAGTCTTGGTGGAAGCTCACCTCCCATCCCACTACTATTCAGGCCACAAAAGCACTTTGCAAACTAGAATGCATTATACAAGCAGAGTACTATGCAATGATGTTGGAAACAGCAACCCATTAAAGAGTATCGTCTTTCTGCATAGGTCACACCCATTTCTCCTTCCTCTATCATTTACAGGAACTACTTTGGGATGAAGTTGCCTTGGTCCTTGGAGTCAGTAAGAGGTTACCTCTGTGACTACAGAGGGGTCCAAAGGAAACATCAACTTTTCAGGAGTATTCCTTTATTTTACACTAATATTATGAACATTGATTAATTTGGGGCCCCATGTATTTTTAGTAGCTATGTTTATTTCTGCATTTATAAATGTCTTCAAGTTCAAAAATTAGCAGAATAGTATGCCTGCTAAGTCACACCTAATTAACATAAAAGAAACAGGGACACAGTTCTGCTGAATCAACTGGCTCCTAATGATACCTTCTAAATCTTCCACATTCACCTCTTTTCTCTTAAAAAAAATGTTCATTTTCTAATTTTCCTTAGCATCCCCTCCCCTATTTATGTTGTGAATATTCACTGTGCCTATTTATAATATAGTATTCCCCTTTGTCCATGGTGTCACTTTCCATGGTCGTAGTTACCTGCAGTCAAACACAGTCAGAAAATATGAAGTAGAGGATTCCAGAAATAAGCAATTCATAAGTTTCAAATTTCACATCGTTCTGAGTAGCGGAATGAAAGCTCGAGAGTCCCGCTCAGTCTCGCCTGGGCCTGACTCATGCCTTTGTCCAGCGTCTCCACGCTGTGGACATTCCCTGCCTGCTGGCCACGTAGTAGCCATCTTGGTTAGCAGATCGACTGTCGAGGTGTCACAGTGCTTATGTCCAAGCACTCCTCATTTCACCTAATGATGCCACTTTCACGTAACTTTTATTAGAGTATATTGTCATAATTGTTCTGTTTTATTACTGTTGTTATTCTCTTACTGTGCCTAATTTATAAATTAATCACAGGGCCAACGTGTAGGGAAAAACAGTATATATAGGGTTTGATGCAATCTGCGATGTCAGGCATCCACTGGGGATCTTGGGACATATCACCCACAGATAAGGGTACTACTGCAGTAGCCATGGGAACAGTAGGCACCAGGTGCAGCCACCAAGAATGGTAAGTCTAATGGCTGAAACTGTGTCATGAATGCATATCCAATTTTAAAAGGGGCATAATGAACTGTATATTATACAATGGTTAAAAGTAGGTATAATAAAAAAAAAATAAAAATAACAGTAAAAAAAGAAAAGACAAGTAGGTATACATGACAAACACACTCGTGTGTGTGTGTGTGTGTGTGTAGAAGGGGGATACAAATGGGAAAGAATATGAAGAAACAGAAATATTCTGTATGGTAATATAGGAATTATGGGTGGCAAAACATCTCTTGTAAAATTTTAGTTTATTTAGTAATAAAGAAAAATGACTGTCTCTACGTTAATATCTTCATACCATTGAGCTTTTCTTTGCCTCCCATTCTCTTACCTTTGTGCTTTCTTTTGTGCCTCTTGCTTCTGCTTCTCTGGCAGGTGCTCAAGTGTTTAAATGCTGGATGCTATGCTTCTTCTGTTACCCATTCTAGCTGTAAACGGTAATATCTTCTGCATAAGCAGAAAATGGGACAGTGACAGGTCCCGGTCCCTTCTTCCTTAAATCCCATTTCTCTGAAGTGCGATTCATGCTGTTAAGCACCATAAAGTCCAGACTTGTTGCTTGTCCCTGATACTCTTTCTACCCACCCGTGAAGGTAGTGAGGGGACTCTGCTAGGGCATGCCCTCTTCAGTTTCAGCCCTTCATTTGCATGGAGGCTCAATCTTAAATCGGTCTTGATGCAAAATTAAAAATCACCTTCCTGATTCTCTACTTTGGTGTGCCCCATAATTCCTCTTTGGTGTGCCTCATAATTCCTTTTACCCATTAATGGTATATTTTGTGCCTTGTGAGTCATGTTCCTGGAAATCTTTTGCAGTAAGATTTACCTCAAAATCTTAGAATTTAGGAATATTAGTGCTCCTCAATCCCAGTAGCTTTCATTTTACTTTTGAAAGTGTCATTATTAATATATGATATATATGGGTGCCGAAGTATGTGTCAAAAATCCATACTGGGTTAGAATAATAACCACCGAATTAATATGAGGTTTTGATATAATCATCAATGCTAGGGTGGGAGAGAGAATCAGTAATTAGTATAAGAGCCCTCAACGGATTGGCAATGTTTTTTTAAAAGGGGGAGCAAATATGTTATAATGTTAAAATTTGATAAATCTAGGTGGTGAATGCATATGTTCTTTTTAAAAAAATATATTTTATTGATTTTTTACAGAGAAACATGGATCAGCTGCCTCCTGCACACCTCCCACTGGGGATGTGCCCACAACCAAGGTACATGCCCTTGACCGGAATTGAACCTGGGACCTTTCAGCCCGCAGGCCGACGCTCTATCCACTGAGCCAAACCAGTTAGGGCACATATGTTCTTATATTAGTCTCTAGTATTATCTGTGTGTATGAACTAATTCACATTTTTTTAAAAATGTCATTTTTAAAACTTTTTATTCCATTGTGCTGGTTATTTAGACTTTTTCATTGAAATCTTACAGAAAACAGCAGGAAACAAAAGTACAAATATTTTAAAAGTTATGAAAAGGAACTGAAGTTAGTGCATTACCTAAAATTACAATAGAGGAATTAAAAATAGGCATTCATATTGAGAGTGGGGAGGCGTAAGTGAACTAAGCTCTCATCTATCAGAATGGGAAGGAAGTCGGAAGTCCACAGATTGCCCATCTGCTTGATAAATGAAGAAGTGGCAATATGACTGTATTATTGAGAGATAGGGAAGTAACCACCCAGAAAAAAATTTTAGAACTGTAGCTATTAAAAGTTTAAACTTGGTTGCTTTTCTAGTGTGGGTCTAGGGTTTGAGTAGAAGACAAAGGGGTATGGTAGGGCTAGAATGTAGGAGCAAAGCATTCCTGCTCTCCAAAGTGTATAATTACATATTCACTTTTTTATCTGTTTTCTTTATAGTTTTGGGTTTGATGTTACTCTCATTCTTGTTTGATTATTCCTGTTCATCTTCTTGTTGCTGCCGAATTTTTACTTGCAGTTTGCTCTTTCTGCTCTGTTTTCTTCACTCACTGTAACACTTTGCTTTGCTGCTTTCCATGAAAGTTCTCCCTGAATTACATACAAATGCCTTAACCAAATTGTGACTTTGTTTTCCTGCCTTGAATCATTCCTCAGTCTAATCAAAGCTGGCAGAGAATCTGGAGTAGGGGGGAAGGAGGGCAGGAGAATTAGAGGAGGAGAAACTTTAAAAATCTATAATAATAAAAGCATAATATGCTAATTAGGCTGGACGTCCTTCTGGACCACCTTCCAGACGAAGCCAGGGCTGCGAGGAAAGCAGGGATCCCGGATGCTTGACAACAGCCGGAGGGAAGCCCGGGTCCCAGGTGCCAGAGGGAAGCCAGTGCCGGCAGCCATGGGAAGGAAGGCCTACTCTTGCACGAATTTCGTGCATCGGGCCTCTAGTGAATAAATAAAGGAGAAACTGATATTTATTGAGTCTCTGCTAAGTGCCTTGCTCTATACATGCATTTTCTCAGTTCTCCCTTAAGCCTCAGAGGCACTTTTATTACCCTCTTCTTTTCAGTGCACACTCTGTGGCTCAGAT